CAAACGCTGTATAAATAAAGTATTGCACAGCACGGCAAGAATAAACGTACGAAAAATGAATGAACTGGTGCCAAAATATTAAGAAACCTCATCATTCGAGCTGAACGAAATATCCGTTATTTATACTTTCAACAATCTGAGCTCTTATATAAAGGATGTTTCTGTATAGATGACCTAAGAATACTGAAAATGAAAATACATTAACGATATACTGGCTCCGTAAGGGACAACTTTCGGAAGGAATCTTATACTGTATTTTTATTACTATTGTCCTGAGAATTATTGGAGAATAAAATCTCTGCGATCTGTCAGGATAGATGCTTTCAGTAGGCAGAAATATATGTAAGTTGTTACATACGGACAAACAAGTTGCATCTTTATCGTGAGTACATGTTTGTTAGTATGTAACAACTTATAATAAATAACTATTGCTCTATTCTTGGTATTGAGCACTTTTAAATTATTCTTTTCGTTCTCATATTTAGAGATAAATTAAATGGCTCAACCATGTGTTGTCTAAAAGTTTGCAGAACGCTTGCAGGCCTTGGGAAGCACGTGTCCATAAAAGTTATAAAGACTATTTCTTGCTAACAGTTAATATATTTCAACCTTGAAAATGTCTAAATGTATAGCCGAAAGCGCTCGGATAAAAAGAACAACCTGACAGTTTTTATATAATTTATCATCTGAAAAAAATATTAGGTCACATGAAAAATTGTATAAAAAAAAAAAAAAATAATCAAAGTACCTTGTCTGTCGTATTCAATGAAATGTGCATGAAAGAAGGATTGCTGCCTAAATACACACGCACACAAATTATATTATATATATATATATATATATATATATATAAAGAAGCCGTAGCTTAGATGTGGCAACCAAGAGAGATCGAACTCACTACCCAGTCGAAATTGATCTAGCGGGATAAGCTTACTAAGAATTACACAACGTAATAATATATATATATATGTGTGTGTGTGTTAGTGAACTCTCACGCCGTAGACGACAAATGAGGGTTCATTAAAATAAAGAGGTACTCAATTTTTATGGACATGTGCTTCCTAAGGCCTGCAAGTGTTCCGCAAACTTTTAGACAGATGGAACATATGGTTGAACCATTTTGCTCGAGCGGTTAAGGACCAATTGACATGTTTCCACGAATGTACAGCAAGACCTGCTTTACTGCGTGAGACAAAAGCCACAATAGCAGGTAAGGCACTCACTGAGAGGAGTAGCATCGTGACAACTTTCTTGGATATTTGTACACAGTTGATCCTGATGTTCGGCCTCATTCAAAACATTGTATAGATGAGAAGCAAGACGCGCCAGCTCCTTCACTCTGTTTTTCCAGAAAGAAAAGGAAATTATATATATATTATATAAAAACACTTTAAAGATTAATTTTACTGGATACTTATATTTGAGTGGATGGTCCATTTATTTATTATACTGCCTGAGAGATCAAATTTATTTTATTTTTTTTATATAAAATAATTATTACTCTAATTAGTTACTGAGCACTTTAATGGCAGAAATTCTGTTTGCTTTGACATGTGTTGAATTAACTTTATGTATATCAAGGAGTCTTTATTATTATTTTAATGTACTAGATTTTATGCTTGTCAAATGCTAATAATTATTCAGCAGGTGTCATTGCCTAAGCATGATAATATATTAAAAACCAATTAGAAGTGTTCTGGCCTCTTTCAATTAGCAACAGGGAAACTTAAGGAATAAATTACATGAATATACCATCTGGATTTCTACAGTGATGTTTCACATTGTAGGACCCCCACCTGATGAGTGAACAGACGGATTGTTGGAGGGTCCTTCTATGAAACACTGGAGTCGGGATGCTGAAGGTGATATCAATCAGGTAAGTGACAAACCTTTTACTTGTATTAATTATATGGTTGACTCTTGTTGCATATGACAAATGAGGGCTCAGTAAAATAAAGAGCTACTCAACTTTTATGGACATATGCCTCCCAAGACCTGCAGAGGTTCTGCAAACTTTTAGACAGATGGAACATATGGTTGAGCCAATTTGCTCTAGTGGTTAACGTTCAATTGTCATATGTTTCCACGAGTGGACAGCAAGACCTGCTTGACTGCATGTGACAAAGCCACAATGACGGGTAAGGCTATCATTGAGAGGCGCAGCATCGTGACAACTTTTATTTACACGCAGCTGATCCCGATGTTCCAGCCGGCCTCACTCAAACGTTCGTATAGCGGAGAAGCACCCAAAAATACATCGAAATGACCGATTGTGAAAGAGTTAAATTAGGATTCAACAACCATAATTTCAAAGATTCTATTAACAAACTGACCATTCCATCACCCGATACGAGCTTTATTGTAGTAGTCATTCAATTAGTGAAAATCATTAATCAAGAATAAATAATGTTTGTAAAAAAAAAAAAAAAAAAAAAAAAAAAAAAATCGCACACCAAAATAAATTCCATGACAATTTATAAAGTCTTTAAATTCCTAATATTAATACAGTTTCTACTTTTCCAATATAAAACTTATATTTTCATTAGACATTGCCATTTTGTGTCTTCATGAATCAAGCTTACAAGTTTTGCGAAATCTTACAGTTAAGAAAAACTTTTAAACTTAATTCAGTTAATTTGACAAGATATCACACAATTTCTTGCAATTCAAATTCATCCAAGCTTGCGACAAATATTCTTAAATACAAATGCAATGACGTAATGACATGAAGTTTGGAAAATGTAAGAGCTATAGGCACCAAAATTAACTGCTTCAAATCTGTTGGCAACCAGGTTTATTAGCAGAGATACGTTTATAAGCCCCTTCATTAGATATCTAGCCCAAACAAGATGTTACTTTTGGTTTGTGTCTATAAAAAAAAGTAGGAAAATCTGGTTTCTGGCATTCCACTCATAGTTGTGAAGGGCACTATTGACATTCGTTAAAGCTTTATTTTTTGGATACCACTATCAAAAAAGACTATGGAGTACAACTGTTGAAGTCCTCAAGTCGATCTAGCCCCCCCTCCCTCCCCATAAAGTATTGCATCGATCCTCTGCTAACAAGGCAAAAAATAGTTTAACTGAAAATAGTCATGAATACTTTTACAGGTGAAAGACTTATTGCCAATGTACGCCACTAGTATATGGATGAAGATTTAGTTTCTTAAACATCTTAGTTTTATATCGGCAATATGTAAAGTAGACATTTCCAGTGTCGATTCTGTTCTTGGAAAAAAACTTGCGCTGCTATTTGAAGAAACTGCTTTGCTACACTGATGGGCAAAACCTACATGTGGAAAATCACAACATTATTCGATCTTAGCTGGTTTATAATTCTAAATAAAAAAGGATGACAAAAGTCATTAATCACGTGACTAAAATACAGTGAGTTACCTTTTTCGAGAGAGCAGGAGAAATCTTTCAATAAAGTAATTTTATCAGACGATCAATTGACCAAAATAATATTCTTGGTTTCCAAGTGGTGGTTTCCATAATGTCAGGTTTTCTGTAAATACGAAACTTTCCTAAATGCCACAGGCAAAAAAACCCATTTACTCGTTTAGGCGAGGAAGTAATTGTTTCGTTTATTTTTTTTTTTTATAATCTTACTGGATTATACGGATAAACCTTGGGTTAATGCCAGGTTTAGATCTTTAGCATACCCCGTGCTAAGTAGTTCTCAGATTTCAGATTTTATCTTCGCTTGACTTTGTTCCACGAGACCTTTTGTGCCAGCAGAAATGGATTGTTTTTCAATGGTTTTCAAAAAACGATACATATTTCAATACTGATTAACTGTAGACAAAGTACAAATTTGGATGAGTCTATGGATAACACAAGAGCAAATCTTTCTGTTCATCACACCATTCCTTCATTTATTCTTAAAACAGTCATTTCGCCATTCCTAACCTATAAATAAAATTAAATCTTTGAGGAGTTGCCCCATTCTACTATACGAGCTGTTCCTTTGTGTAATTGTATCTTAGAATTCATTTAAGTATATTTTAACAAATTTTTGCCAGTATGTTTTTTCCTTCCGACGTTTTTAAATTAACAAACTGATACAGTGTTTGTTGAATGATTGTCTGTGCTTATCTCTTATATATGTGTGTGTGTGTGCGCGCGCGTTTGACGTGAAATTAAAATTAGACGAGTTTATTGTAAATAGTTTCTCCTCACCACCATTTTTTTTTTTTTTTTTTTTTAAAAAAAAGTCCTATCACATCTTAACTGAATTATAACCACCATTTAAAGTTTCATAAACTGAATAATCTTACATTTAATAGTGGAATGGATGTGAGCGTAGAGTTATTGGTTCGGAAAATGGAATCGACGAACGGATTTAAAGTTCCGGTCAAGACAGTTGAATTCAATTTCGCATGGGCGTCGAGCAATTATCGCGACACTATTTAAAATACACACACACACAAAAAAAACAAAAAAAAAAAACAAAACAAAAAACAAAACAAAAAACAATTACTATAGAAACTACAGCAGCACCAACTAGCTTTATTTCTATATTTCCACAAGGCGTTTGCGTGTTCATAGTAGTAGTTGGAAGTATTTTGTTCTTGTCATTCTATGGTGGGTCTATCCTGTAAATTTTACGCCTAATCTTTTGAGAAGAGCAGTTCGTGCGTCGGGATACAAACAATTATTGACCAAGTTTTGAGTCAGTCATGAAATGCTGATACGTTTACTGGGGTTGATCTACACACGGTTGTTTAACTCCGGTGATCTGAGACATTAGGCTTTCAGTATCATTTGTTTATAAATGCAAGTATAAAAAATATCGAGGTTTTTAAACCTACAGCGATCGAGGATTTATTGAAACTGCTAACTTATTTAAGAATATCTACTCTAGGAAGTAAGCATTTAACTGGCACGTATATCACACTGTAAGTTTATTATATAACGAACGACTTATAGCAATAGTTTAAAACATTCCCACAAGAAACTGGAAGCATTCAGAAATATCAAAGAAAAAAATATACTTACCCAGTCTCAGAGTTGTTTTTGTTTAAGCCTGTAAAAAGTAAAAAGAACTGAAATTCAATACCGAGAGGTAAACATTACACTTGAAAAGAAAATTTATTAGACAGATCAAACTGATAAAACATTTCTGGATATACTATGAAAATTAGATAAATCATAAAAATATAGATAATTTACAGAATTAAGCCAAAGCTTTTAAATTTAAAAAGTTGTAGTCTTAATGTCCCTTGCCTCCATCTGACACAAATGTAGAGGATTGATATATCTATCAACCGTTGTGGTTACAGGTGTCAGTCAAACTTTTAATAGCTGAAGGGAAAAAGCTAAATATTAGTGTTTTCAATGTTAATATTAAACTATCATTTTCTTTATCATCAGAAGAAGATGACTCATTTCTGAACAGAGTTCATCTATGTTCGTAAAGTTATCAGCAAAAAGAAAACGAAGCGAAAGGTGATTAATGATGTACAAAACGATTATCTTCCAATACGAGAAATATTTCCACGTTGAATGTTAGCACTTTGTTCTATACTTTTTCTTAGGTCGGTTGATTTTGTCAGCTCTAGCGATTTAAAGTCGAAATTAGTCTTAATAGTTGAGTCTACAAACTTATTTCTGCGAGAAATACTGGTAGTTTATGAGTGCCAGTAAGAATTTACTCATTACTGGATGGTTGCTTTGATCTTACCTTGTCTAAGGAATGAAGTTGACATTGTACACCTCGCGGATAGAGCAACTTTATTTGCATTCAATAATCGATCGACCAAATATACTTTATGACCGATAGTTTAATACTTTACTTTGACTCACTAGACAAAAAATGTATTTAAATTGTTCGGTGATAGAATATATAAGTGCTTTGGCACGTATTGGTGTATTATGTGCAGAACTGCTAATGATAGTCTGGTAAAGTTATTTGGAGATACTAGTTATGAAAAAAACAGCACTTCTGTCAATTAATGTCATTGATAGTGCATATAGTGATTTACTAAACGTAGATTAGACATGGAAAGAATGGGGAAGCCAGTGAGTATCGAACTCACGACTCGAATTGATCTAGCGAGACGTTTGCTAATTGGTTGTGTGTGTGTGTATATATATATATATATATATATATATATATATATATATATATATATATATATATGTGTGTGTGTGTCTCAGACTAAGAGCCAAGGGAATACAGTGTAATTTCAGAAAAGTTACAAATGACCTGATCTAACCAATGAAGATATTGGATATAAAATAACAAGAGCAAAATTTCACTACATATTCCCCACCGGGCAACTCAACGGAGTATCATAGTCATGCAAGCTTATCTCGCTAGATCAATGACTTAGATCATCATTAGGTGCTCCATACTTGTGGACTTGTATCACACCTAACATAAGCTTAGTAATTCACTACCCATTCTTCAACCGTGTTTATGCCAAAGAGAATCTTGACAGCCTAACAAATCCTTACTATTACAATAAATGACTAAGTATTTTAGAGTCAGATTTTTATTAGAGCAATAAAATACATTAAACATTTCGTAACAAAAAGTAAAAAATATTACCGTGAAATGGTAATACTGAAATAGTAAAAAAAAACTGTTACTATGGATTGGTGAGGCGAGATTTGCTAAGCAAATTCCAGTTAGAGGTAAGGAACTGTTATTTTTCATCCAGCCTGCATTTTTTTTTTTTAATAATCAGTTTCACCAAATGCAAGGCAAGAAAGCCACTAAAACTGGGCATGGAAGAATTCGAAATAGAAACTAAGAAGCGTGAAAATTAAAAAAAAAAAAAAAAAAAGTAAATCAGGAGGACAGCACATAGCGACTGGTACTGCATTTAAATTTTTGTAGATTAAAGTTGGCTGGACAAGCATGGAGCCAGAAGGGAGTTCCACAAGCGACATATGCGAGCAAAGAAACGGTTAGCATAGAACTTACGGTTACATCTAGCCAGCTGAACTGTAAATTCATGGGATCTCGACGCCAGTCTAGTACTGTGCTTAAATTCATAAAATTTAGGTAGCATAGCGAAAAGCTCATTTGAACAATTACGTTGAAAGTATAGAAAAGGCTCAGAGACGCAACCTTATGGCGGTGTGAAAGTGACTGAAGCTGAGCTGCCAGATAAGGACCGATAATATTACTGATTCTTTCGATTTTTTATCAAGCAGTTCAAGGTAAATACCAAGAGCATCGGACCATAAGTGGCAGTAATTTTCTAAGCATGGACGAATGGTAGATTCTGGAGAGAAAAATGTCTCGCACGACACAGTAAACCAACTTTCTTAGATTATCTAGCAATGAATTCAATATAGTCTTTTGCCTTCGTGTCAGCTGAGAACGTTAGCCCGAAAAGGCGCAACGAGTCACTTTCCTGGAGATTAGCATCAGCCATGCTGATGGAAGGCAGAGACGGATCTATCAGGTGATTATTGGAGAGAAATTTAGTTTTGGTGGCGTTAAAATTAACAACTTTTGCCCCAGTTAACAACTGACTTGAGTTCGTTTTGGACATTGGCTGCCATTATGACCTTGTTGAACTGATCGGCCTTATCTAGGCAGGAGTAAATATGCCATCAGCGTAGATACTAAGTTGAGAGTTAATGTCATCAGGAAGGCCATTAATGAAAATTAAAAAAACAGTAGGGCCAAGATTGTAACCCTTGAGGACACCCGCTTTAGTACGAAAGGATCTAGACCAGTGGCGGTTCAGGATAATTTTCATTTCACCATTTGATAGGAAAGACTGGATCAATTCAAGAATGTGTCCGGACACACCGTAGCTATTCAGCTTGTAAAGAAGACATTTATACTAAGCTTTCGAGACATCCAAAGCTACAGCCCGGGCCTCATAGTTTTTATCTAGGGCATGATAGACTATTTCAGCAATTATCGTCAGTACATCAGTAGTTGACCTGGAGAAACGAAAGCCATATTACTTGTCTGAGAAAAGGCCCTGCGATGAGAGATGATGAATCAATTCAGCATTGATTAGGAGGCCTCTAAGAGTCCCCCCCCCAAAAAAAAAGAGGTAGAAGGCTAATAGGCTGATAGTTGGAAGGGTCAAACGGTTCGCCAGAGTTAATAAAAAAACAAGAAGGAAAGCGGGAGGCATTTATTATACAGTTTAGAGAAAACAGGAGTCATTTCGGGAGCAACACTTCTTAATGACTATTTCAGGGATACCATCGGGTCCACATGTTTTGTGGGAATCTAGGTTAGAGATGATAGCAGAAACAATGGAAGGAGTTATAAGCATATCAGTCAGAGACAGTTCTAATTGGAATGTTATGTAGGGATACTCCAAGTGAGTCAAGAGTAGAGTTTGAGAATTTATGGGCAAATTTATGAGCAGAAGAGTTGGTGCTCGACCGAAGGATTTTTTTGCCTATCCATCATTTTAGTTCTGCAATTTATAAATTCAAATGTCAGTGCTTTGCTGACTATTTCGGCAGAACAGGTCAAAGGCTAGACGCCTGGATCAACGAAGACATACCAGCCTATATTCGCAAAAAGAAAAGAGGAGAATCTACATAAGTTCAGCGATATCCAAACATTAAAAAACAGCAGTATACCCAGTCTTATAGCTCAGACGTTCTCGGTGCCGAGTAGGGCTAAAATCTATTATTTCTTGAAAGTTTTGGAATTAATGTACATTGTCTTACCAGCCATCTTTTTGTAAGAAATAGTTGGTGAGCTTAAAAGATAATTAGACTAATAATTATTTGACAGTCTGGGGGTGGTGTATAATTTTGTAGTTGCTGTATATATTTATGTCCTTAAATTTGGCATGGACGAGAGAACCGATAAATCGGTTTAACTTTTTTAATCGTCATATTTCGGTATTACCACATTACTGTAATGCATTTTTGTTACGAAATTCTTTTTAAGGTTTGCTTTTATTGCTCTATAAAATTTTGTACCCCTGCGAAAAGGATTCAAATTTTGCTTTAAATATCAATTGTCATTATGCCCGCGTGAATATACAAGAAAAATACGCTGAAAATTTCTCAGAGTGACCAATCATTTTATTATTAAAGTTGGTGAGAGATTTTTCAAAACACCATGTATAATACGATAAAATCTCGAAAATAGAAAGTCATTCCCACTTGAACTAACAGTTGTTTATCGAATAAAAGCAATTAAAAAAAAAACAAAAAACAAAAATACGCACCCGAAATTTCTGAAAGTACAACGTAACCAATATCTGGTTGATAAAAATTCGATACAAGTGTTACATGTCTAATATTCACTTTCATCAATGTGATAATAGTTTCAATAAGTACAAAAACTACATTTAAATTTAAGGATTAAACGTGAGAATATTCATAGAGCAAGAACATTTACAACTGTTTGAGTTTAAATATAAAATTCAATACTGGTGTCTGTATGAACTGCCTAGAGAAGACGGGCAATTTTAGCTTTCGTCTTTTTGCTCATCGACTTCTTTGACACCCGATACTTGTTAGTCAAGTCCATTTGCTAAACTTGCAAGCTGCTACTTTTACCTTCGATGTGTCCAGTATGCTAAGTTTTTTCTCATGTGCAAGAAAAAGAAATTGCTATAAATAGTGGTTCTTTATGGTTCCTGTAATTTCCTCCTTTGTTGCAGACATTGTATTTTTAACATTCGTCAGTAGGTCATTTATTGCCGTTAGTAAAGACAAAATCGTTCAGAATTCACTTCCATACGTTAAGATAGTATTACTTTTATTATTTAGTACGTTTATTATGACATCTTAGTAACTTTTGTCGGAGTTTCTCAAATGAGAAATTAATATATACTTTGCTTTTATCAGCATGCTCATATAGAGTGTTACAATTACATCTCAGATGTTGTTCACCTTGAAGTGAACATCTTTGTCTTTATCCAATCTAAGAGGATATTTCATCAATATACAGTCTAATTCACCTGTGTACCGCCTGTTCTGAACAATGTGTTAGATCCAAGGATGGAACTCCAGTATCAGGAAATCCAATGTTTTAACCAACGTTGCATCTCACGAGGCCATTAAGCCTGAATCTATAGAAGGTCTAATTAGGCGATGGGATCTTTTTAACGAAAAGGTTTTGTAACGGTACTTTTTTTTTTTTTTTTTTTAAATAGAGTTCATCTCATGCATGACAGGGTTACTGAGTGTGGAAGGACTAGAAAACAGAAACATGACTAAGGAGAGAGAATAATAGAAGAGTAATCAGAAAGACAGCGATTGACATTGCATTTAAATTTTTGAAGATTAAATTTGGCTGGGAAGCATGGAACCGGAAGAGAGTTCTACAACTGCGAAGTGAGAGAAAAGAAACTGTTGGCATAGAACTTACGGTTACACCTGGCCAACTCGGCTGTAAATTGATGAGACCTCATTGCCAGTCTAATACTGCGCTTAAATTCATAAAGTCTAGACAACATAGCGAAGAGTCCATTGGAACAATTACCATGAAAATATTTATGGAAGAGGCACAAATGGTAACTTTACAGTGGTAGGAAAGTGACTGAAGTAGAGATGCCAGGTCAGGACCAATAATATTGCTGATTCTTTGGATTTTATCTACATTGTTTGGACTGTTGTTCTCATCTTCATTGCCATATTCACGACATTTTGGTCGTTGTACGTTCTAGCCTTCTTCAGTTGATTGGAATTTCGAACTGAACACTTTATTTCGTTCACCGGGGTAAAATGTTCTAGTTCCCTTTAATTCAACTCGCCAAGTTTTTATTCATCACTGCAGTATTGAACTCACAACTCTTTGGGTAAAGTCACTAGATCCAACCAACGCTATTATCCACTGGGCCATGTATCTTTGAAACGTCGTGAATATGGCAATAAACAGTCCGAACAATGTAAATCATTACAATACCTCATCTCAGAAATATAGACATATCTTTGTTTAATATCAAGAATCTCTAAGTATATAGCAAGAGCACCAGACTATAAGTGGCAGCAATATCCTACGCATGGACGAATGGTAGATTTATAAATATGCAAGATTCTGGTGAGAAATTTAGCACGACACAATGAACCAACGTTCTTAGCAATGGATTCAATATCAGCTTTCAATGTCAGCTGAGAAGGTTAGCCCTAGAAGGCGCAACGCGTCACTCTGCTGAAGGTTAGCACCAACCATGCTGATGAAGGCCAGAAAGGGGTCTCTCAGATGATTAATAGAGAGCAGTTTTATTTTGGATGCGTTAAAATTAACAACCTATTCTCGAGCTGATGCCATCGAAAAGGTCGTTAATAAGAATTAAAAAGCAAAGTAGGACCAAGGATAGAACCCTTTGGGACGCCCGAGTTAGTATAAAAGGATCTAGAAAAGTGGCCGTTCGGGATAATTTTCATTTCACGATTTGATAAAACTGGATCAGATATTAAAACGTCTATAATATATTTATGCTTTTAAACAGTAAGCAACTCTTGCTGTTAACAGATTAAAACTCATTTAAACGTTCAGGTCTTTATGGAGAGAAACTTAATAGACTAAAACCAGAAAAATGCATTCGTCATATATGGAACATAATTTAGTTACAAGCAAGGATAGATGTGTGCTTGAGGTCTTTTAAGACGTCAAAAAGAGTTGTTTTTTTCTCTCACTTATTTGAAGTAATGTCTTAAAGTTTGTTGGCTTGCTAGTTTTACCGGCCGCTTAGAGGGTCGGGGTAATTATGGCCAGTCCGCAGAAGGAAATTTTCAAATTTTGCCGACATTTTTAGATGTTTTACTCTTTTCTGTAAACGGTTTCAATAACCCAAAGAAAAATAAAGCCTCAGTGGTAAATATTAATTTTCATGTAGACTCGAATATGACAAGGTGGAAAACGTTTTTGTGTGACGCGTTTTTGTTCTCGAGGGCTTCGCCTTATATATATATATATATATATATATATATATAAAAGGCCATTTAATTTAGAAGTTATTTTCACTGAACCAATCGTGGTGTGGTCGTAAGGAAGTTGAATTCTTAGAATTTATGTTATAGGTAGAAACTTATACTAGATTTTATTTATAAAAAAAATTATGGGGATTTAATAGGAATTTTAAAGTGTTTATAATTAGTACTAGATATTATGATGGCATAACTTCACAAGATCCTGAATAAAATCTACACACACAAGAAAACTCCACGAGAGTAGGGACGTGGAAGAATAAAGCTTGCTTGATAAATGGTATACGATAATACATCGTAGAAGTATGTTAATAAAAAATAATTCACATTTATCTTGGCGTATTTTCATTATGAAGCCGGCTGCCAGATGAAAAATAAACTGAGTTGACCGTATATATATATAAGGATAAATAATTTTCAGAAGTATAAAATTATTAGGAGATTTTGCCTTATTACACGCATCCTTGGGCCAAATAAAAAAATACAAGACGCAGTTCCGAAGTATTAAATCTTAAGGACTATCTGCTTATGGTTACTAAGTAAGAAAACTTAATGAATTCCAGAACCAAAATTTGATATGCGAGAGTAGCCTTATAATAAAGTGGGCGAGATTTAAAATGCAAGCATACAAAACATACACACACCTGTCACAAGGCCGAATATTCTTAGCTACATTGTTTATTTCACCGAGGTACAGGAATCCTATGCCTAGATAAAAAAAAAAAATGTTTTGAAGAATTTCGCATCAGGTGGTGACATTTTATCTAAACAGCTTAGGTGTAAGAGTGCATTTGTACAATGTTTCCCTGAGTGAGAGAGGAAGATTACAACTGGTAAAATTTATTTTTGATGCCGAGAAACAAAACTTCCTATATTTCTTAAGCAACTTTATTTGATGAAAAGATAAATATAAATATATTTTATGTATTTTAATTAAAAATTAAACAAACAACAAGACTGAATTGTATATTATCATTCTTTATCTATTCTGTCAGATTACGATGTAAATTTTATCCAGACTTACAATTTACTCAGTAATACTGTCTCGTATTTCCGACACCACATAAACAGATAATGAATACACGTTTTGCAGTTTCCTTTCCTATTTTTGTAAATAATATGTATAAATGTTAGGGGGTGGTGGTGTAATTATTTACTCAGAATTATAACAATTCTGAGTAAATAATTGCACCACCCCCTAACATTTTGTTGGCCGTATATACATATGTATACAACCGACAAAAGCGTTGTACACCTTCGAAAACTTCTGCTAGGATATAAAACACGAGAGAGAACTAAGAACCGTTTTCAAAAACAAGAGTATTTCTGAAGAGAGAAAAATAGGTTAGTCTTTATGTGTGACCACTGCATCGTCGATTTCCTGCACGAATTGTCATTTTGTGACTCCATTTGAACATTACGTGACCAAATATGGTCGATCTGTAGTTGTCATTTTTAGTTAACTTGTTTTATTTGATTTCGGTGCTGGTAACAGCACAATACGACCTATCTTGAAACATACGTATGAAAACCGTTCCAATGTTTTGATTTGTAATGGTAATATTAGCTGTTTTTCTGGAAAAACTGGAAACATTTGGCATTCATTGACCAAGCAACCAATACAGCTTTCGGTTGAAATTTAGAAAATCCTATTAAAACAAATTTTCAGGAAGATAGCGTTTTCAATTCCAATAGCTGTTATCGCTCTTTCCAGTATCGATTGATTTGGTTTGGTTGTTTTAATTTAGCAGAATATCAACCGCTATGGGTTACCAATGCCGAACTCCAGTATTGATAGTTGTGGGGTGCTCCTTCCTAACCTTTTATTTGTGAGGAAGGTCAATATGTCATTTCTCTTCGAGTTATATGTGCTGTTTTTGCTTTTGGTATTCCTCATGTGATGTAGTTTCTGTTAGGTAATCCGAAACTTGACAAGAACATTTAAGTTTAATTTAAGGTTTGTTTGATAGGGAGCGTATCCGAATGAGATTGAGCAAAGACATTTCCCAGCATCAGTAGATTGTGCTAAATGAATTGATTAGTTTTTTACGGTTTATCAACCCTCTGCAGGTTATTTACATTTAGAAAATATTTTTAGCGACTGTAAGTATTTTGTTTTAGATAATTCATAACTGGGAGGGAAGAGATGCATTCATACCTTTCCTAAGGGCATTTATGCACAAGTGACTAACGAACCTAATTGGAGTTGGAACTCTGCTCCGATTACAATTCCGAGCCATTATCCATTACACCACCCACACATCCATGCTTACAGCACTTGGTAAGCCCAAGTAGTCACACATCTAGGTACTAACCAGGCTGAACGTTGCTTAATTTCGGTGATCATACGGAAACCGGTGTTTCAACGCTATATGGCCGTAAGCCTTTGTACTAAAAGAATATCGACAAATGCGTTATGAATAAAAGAAGCGAGTATAGGTATTTAGAGAATGTGACCAAGCAAAATCTAAAGCCAGTAAAACGAAAATGGAATTAAATGATTGGTAAATCAGTCGTGATATTTTGGTTTTAATCTTCAGCTCGAAACCTTAGCAGTAACCGTGCTAGCGGCTCATGCCCACATACCGCGAATGTATTGTACAGAGCGCTCTTTACGACGTCAATGATCATGAAATCGAATTCCTAATATACAAACCTAATTGTGTACTATAACCACAACATCAGAAATAATATCATGAATCATTTGACATGGGTAGAATAAAAATTTACACACAAACAAAAAGAACCCAAAAAACTACCATTTTTGTTCCGTCAAATTATAAAAAGTTGTTTAAAAGTGGTTAAGGCCGCTAGAGCATTAATGAAATCCTCCCTTCTGAGGCCTCACTAAAAGCTACAGTCAGGGGTTTCATGGAAGTAATAAAAACCGGCTCTGTTTAACAATACTTTCATTGCCAGTTCTGTAGCAACGTGGGCATATCGTTCAACAAGAAGCAATGTCTTTTAGTACTAGTGATGCAAAGTCTAGAGAGACTTTTCTTTCTCCAGCTACTAGTCGCAGACTTTAAACGTCAGTTTAGAGTTATCAGAGTGGAGGAAGAGGTTGTCTTCATCGAAAGGTGGTTGAGTGTAGCATAGGACTAAAAGTAACTGCTTAGGGGTTTTGCTTTCTAAAAGGAAAATTCTGACCAGCTCAAATAAGTTTGTATAGTGTATGGAAGTTAAGTTTGCGTGTTTGTATTTTATGTGGATAGGTATTCGTATAAAAACAAACATACAAAAGATTGTATTTCTGCTACAGACCGTTTATTCCTATTTTATGCTGACTGTAGCGAAACAAAGTTCTCAATGTCTCTTGAGCATGTCAGTTTTTTCTTCATAAGTTAGGGTAAGTAAGGATAAAAATGGTAGGGTTCAAGGCAGCTTTGCGCTGAGTTTGACGGAATTACTTCAAGTCTGCCACAAAACGCCCAAACGCTGTCGTTGGAAAGTGGAAACGCTTTTGTCTTTTAGGGAAGGGGGGGGGGTCATAAAATCACGCAGGTGGCCAAAAAACAGTTTCCGGTTCGTTTATTGTTTGCATCATGGGAAAACGGAAGTCTTGTTTTTATTTATAGATTTCAATTCATTCCCTCCCCACACCAAATTTTTTTTTTTTTTTTTTTTTTTCAATTCTTCCAATCCCAGTTAAATGACTAGAATTCTTCGGTGATGTGAGAATTTTTTCTGCCATATTAGATCGCGTTGGAAGTTCACATCAACGCATTATATTTCTGTAAGCATTTGACCTGTTCCTGGCTTTTTCTTCTGTTAGGATCCATGTCGAGATTCCCAGTTTGTTTTTGTCCCCTTTTTTCATCTGCTGAGTCAACCTTTGATTTCCCCCATTCCATCATTTATTTCCCCCCCCCCTTTCCATTAATGAGTGTGCTTCTTGATTCTGTCTATCGACAGAATACAGCGGTCACTCTTATTATTTTGAGGGGTGGACTAACATTGTTTTGTTTTATCGTTGGTTGACATTTTGAGGTTCTTGTCAGGGTTCATCTCCCCTCCCCATCATTTCATATATATATATATATATATATACACACATTACAAATTTTTACATCATGGGGTGTTTTGTAGGACCCATGTGAATATGTGGTATTGTGGTGTGTGTGATGGATGAGTTCTTGTGGTGAATGTGTAATTGTAATGAATGAATGGGTCATGATTGTGGTTAACTAGGGAATAGTGAAAGACCAGCCTTTACCCATTTCCCCCTTAGGCCTTGTGCCACAATTTTGTATTATTTACAAAATAAATATATTTCTGTAAGCATTTGAAAATATTTCTACAAAGATTTTTTTTTTTTTTTTACTTAAAAAAAACAAAACAAAAAAATAACAAACAAACTCAAATGGTAATTAAAATATGCGTCAAGAGAATGGGACATTTTGTTGATTGAACGTAAGACTCAAATACGTCGTGGTGAAAGTAATAAGAAATTTTGGTCCGTGAAAAAGACAAGCTAAGTTAATCTTAGAATAATGAAGACCAGCATTAGCTTTTTGTCAGTTTTGTTTCTAAAGAAAATAAGATTTGGTTTGCAAAGGATTTATGTAGAAATTTACATGATTTGTGTCCAAAGTACACTTACCGTAAACGTAATCATGTGTTAAGACGTTTTTTTTTTCCAAATTATTTGAAATTCTCTCCCCAGAGGAAGATAAAAAGTGTGTGTGTTTTCGCTAGAGTCAAGAAAGCCCGAAAATATACCCCCCCATCTTTAATCTATGATATGGCTTTAGTATTTAAATCTTATAAGTTTTAATTTATACCCAGACACTAAGTATGGATTTATCAAAGCTACCTGAACGATTTTAAGTCAGTTTTGTTTCTGCGCGCACAATAGAAAGTTCAGCTCACTGTACATATTTTACAGACACTTATATAAGTGGAGAAGTTTTAAAAGTCAAAGACTGGAATTTATTGAAGATTAGATTCATTTTTAATATCCTCATTTAAAAAAACAAAAACTATCTAGTTTAAACGAAACCTTACCGCTGTTGCAAACAGGTTAAAATTAATGTAGACTTCCCAAAGGTCAGGATCTTTAAAACTATTTCCTTTCAACCTTATATGCAAAGTGTGTTGCAAGAAATATCAAATTAAAATACGAATATCTCAGTTAACCTAGGACAACAGCGTAAAGTACTATCCATCGTCTTATTTACGTCAAAGATTGATTCTGACAAATTATCTACAGTTTATTTCAATTAAGCCTATTGACTTTCAAGAAAGCTTATTCAGAAGGTTGAAAAAATTGCTTTTACTATGTCAGACTAAGTATCGTATCAGTCATTAAATTATGGCGCTAACTTAAGTCAGCCGAAATATTTGTATTAATCGTTTGCTCAACCGCCGGGGTGGGCACTCAAAATATTTTTTTTTAACGAAGACTTAACTGGTATTTGTAGATGGCTACCATACTATCAGGTATTTTCAAAAAATACCTTTTAAAATTAGTTTCATGCTTATTTTATATACAAGTTGAATAGAAATAGTACAAGTTTTTTGGGGTAAAAAAGATAAATACTTCAAACAAAATGTTTGAGATTAATTTATAGGCACAAATGATAGACGATACGAGACAAGTTTAAAAACAACGATAATAATGTCCAATGACATGTAAATTATCAATGAAAATGAAACGTCTTGTTAACAATTAAAATTATACTACTGCATAAAATAAGTCTACTTAATGTGAAGAAAAAGAAATGTTTCTTGGAATAGTTTTCAAAGAAAAATTTGGTAAACTTTTTGAAGCAAAGTTCATGCTTACAACGAAGCTTATATTAAGCACACCAGTCGAAAGATTTTGGAGGTAGGAAGGCCCTGGTTCTTTTTAATTATCGTCTGGTGGTTGCCGAAATTTTTCTGCGTCGTTTACCTTCTGAACCTGGGCGACCTGGATTCCTGTGGCAGCTGTTTGTCGACACCGAAAATCAAGTCCAATGTCCCCCTAAAATAACCTACATGCAGGCCCCAAAACACGCTGCTCGGAATTTGGAGGAAACCCCTTTTATTTGTTTTGGACGAAAAACAAATACAGATGTTTTACCACTAATCAAAATGTACCATAAATATTTTCGAAATTTAAAAACGAAGCCATAGCCCATCACAGCGTCTGCTTTATCGCTGTAACTTGATGTATGCTAATTTAGTTGAAGTGAATTGTAATAGGCCATGGAACTTCGTTTGCATTTAACAATGTATTGACTTTACAACTTTCAAAATACAGCATGTTCCAAAAAAAAAAAAAAAAAAAAAAAACATACACTTGTGAAATAGCAATCAGGAAAAATTTGCATGACAATCTTCCATTATTCGATCAATAAAATTGGTTAATATATTGTCACACAGAAACAGCATTCCATTTGGTAAATAAATATAAAATTTACAAATGTTACCAATGGTAATGCGACTTTTCGAACACCCTGTACAATAGATTGGATATTCATGTTATAAATGAATCGGGAAATAAATCACGAATATGACAAATTTATTAAACTTAAATATTAACGTTTATACATAATGTTCCCTAGATATTAGGGATATTAACTGGTTTATTCATTTTTTTTTATTTTAATTACCAAATGTTCAACAGAACGTGTAGAAACAAAACTCATACTGTCCCGGGTATGAAGATAAACTACATCCGCGTCCTGGGTAAGACGATAACTACGTCCGACAGAAAGGCCTCTGATCAGGAAGTTTTGAGGAGCGTGGAACCACCTCTTAATTGCTGGTGTTCCCAGGTCCACCCTGATCCGGGTTGGTAGCACCTATAAGGCACCCAGCTATGTTAACAAACGTCAATTTATCTACCTGAGCGGTCTAGAAATGGACATCCTTCATACTTCCAGACTCAAATCCATTTATTCTTACAGTTCAATCACATCAAGTTATAAACATTTGAGAAGTCCTCTCCACGCAAAGTAACGCAAACAAGTCTCAGCTAATGTATTTTTAACAGTGATAAGCCGTTATTCGTCCAATATTCCCCCAGTTCCGAGCAACGTAACCATACCTCTGATTAACTTCTGTAGGATAAACTGAGCAAATAGTTAAACACATGACAGCATAGAGTACAATTCCGTCAACCGCAGAAACTATTACTGATTTGCACCCCGAACATGTCTGAGTGAATACTAATTGACCATACAGAATTTGCCACCGTCACCAATATCTGTTAGGATTTACCCGCCAGCCTGAACGCCTCCCCGCCCCCATATCAGTAGTTGTCCTAACCACAAATGAGCCATCTGTATTTTGCTCTCATCTATACTTGACATTTAAATACAAACAAGCTACTATGCCTCACGTTCAGACTTGTCAATATTTAAGTGTGGCTGCTAACTGTTTAAGTAAAGATT